CCTACACCACCACTAGTTTCCCCATAAACTGACGCCTGTGAAACTAGTGCAGAAATTCCACATTGATGACGCGTGACTACCTAGATCTACAATTCTAGGTAGTGCTTCTTATTGTCGTGCCGCGAGGGAAATTTGCCTCAGCCAGTCAGAAGCACTACCCAGATCTGGGAAGTCTCACGTCATGAGTATGGAATTTCTGTGCTCGTTCCTCAGACGTCATTTGGCGGGGAAACCAGTGTTGGCGTCGCCAAATGTCAGTTGTTCTCTCTGGCGAATCTTTTCAAAGACCAATTATCTAACACTAACGTGTCATGCCTAAGTAACTGGACGGTACGCATGCACTTAAAGGACTTTTTTTCACCGCTACCAAAAAAACTCCTAGAATTTCTTGTGTTTCCATTTAAAAAAGCCTAAAATATCACAAATCAGTTTGTCATAGTTATATGATTAATTGGTTACAGAACTTTGTGGCGTCCAATTCGGTTTGTAATGGTACTCGTGATTAAACGAATCGTGCTCGGCGCAACGCAGTCGTCCGATTTTGTTGATCACTCGTATGATTACTGGTTGAATTGGACTCCACTCAGTCCTATTACCATTATTAATGGGACTACGGTACATTAATATTGACTTAATGCTTCTTTTAAAGATTTAGCTAAAATAGAGTTACACTTCGTTGAAAGGAAATTAACTTTATAAACGCCCCCTCGATTATGTGCCCTCCTTCTAATTTGCGCCCCTTCTTTTAGCCAAGTCGGATACAATGAATTTATACGGTAGCAACTTCCTTCTTAAGAGGAAGATCCAGAGGAGAGCCTTCCCCTTATTTTTAGACTAAACTGAGGTCCGAGGGGCTCTAAAATTTTTTTTGACACCGCTTCCCCCCCCATTTCAGGGCCTGGCTGACCCCCCCTCCCGCATTCTCAACTCGCTTCACAACCACCCACTTTGCGCAGACTCTACCACGCCCACCCAAAGGGTGCCGCGTACGCGTAATATGTATGAACCTAGCCTCATTACAATAGATCATTCAAAGAAAAGAAACACTGACACTAAAAGTACTATTCCCCGCACTTATCCACCCACCTCCACCTCTTCTGGACTGAACTGACAATTTGTCCTTGGGAGCACTTATAGCATTCTTCTGAGGTTTAAGTTTTACTTCTAAGAAATGACCACTAACAAGGAGACGGTAGGAAGATCGATTCTCGCTTGTCTCATATCGACCTTGGGGCCTGTGAGCTTCGGATACTGTTTAGCATACTCATCATCGGCCTTAGTGGATTTGTCAAATGATCAGACAGATCCCGCTATACGATTATCTGACTCGCAAGGATCCTGGTTTTCGGTGAGTATTTTTTTTTCTTTTCATCTGCGCTCACGCTAAGCATTATAAACTATATTTTGCCGACATACAAGGCTTTTTTTTATTTGAGTGTCTTATACAAAATAGCCTATTAAAAATAGTCTGACCACAGGCAGCCCAAGCGCACTATGTTTGGGTTCGGGCTTCAGAGGTCATTTGGTCGGAGTACTAGAATTAATAGTGTATTATCTGATGCCAAATAAATGCAAAAATCTTAAAGATACGAAGTCTTCTTGTTTGTCTATCTGTACTAGTAGCCTTCAAGGTAACGAAGGTCGAGATTTCTTGCATTATTCGAATTTTATCACATGTCAGACGTGTATTCGAATCTACAACGCTAAGAAAAAAAATCATGATCACGCGAAATACTGATTCAAAAGTCTCCCTTACCTTTAGTTTATAACCACTCTGTGTCCTACGGCCGGTTTAAACGCCGTTTAGTTGAGTTTCCTTCCATCGAGTACTGGCCACCAAGAAACTCGACTAAGCGGCGCTTAAACCGGCCGTAGGACACAGAGTGGCTATGAACTAAAGGTAAGGGAGATTTTTGAATCAATATTTCGCGTGATAGTGATTTTTTTTCTTAGCGTTGTCGATTCGAATACACGTCAGACATGTGATAAAATTCGAACAATAAGGGCCCGAATCACATGTAATTCGATGTAATAATGCAAGAAATCTCGACCTTCGTTATCTTAAAGGCTACTAGTACAGATAGACAAACAATAAGACTTCGTAGCTTTAAGATTTTTGCATTTATTTGGCATCAGATGATACACTAATAATTTTAGTACTCCGACCAAATGACCTCTGAAGCCCGAAGGAATACCAACTAAACAGAAATTTAGAAGGGGTTGATTCCGCCTCTCAGTTTTTTTAAAGGTGAGGTAAAGTAAGACGCACCACGGGCCATGAGGCCTAATAAGGGCCCACTCTCAAGGTCCAAAAAACTAGTTTTAAGAGCCCAGGGTGGTTGATCGAATAAATACGGTATGCTCGTAAGGACGAATTATGCCAAAACTTAAGTTAGCACAATCTATCAAAGGCTATTCGCACTATTTGTTTATATTTCATGTCTCGTTTTTAGTTTAGGCTTGATAACCACATTTCAAGTCGAATTTTCGGCAATGGAAGTTCTATTTAGTTAAAACAATTGTCACGCAATTTTGCGGCGCACCCTTTCCGGAAAGAATCTCGAATATACCGAATATTACTAGTAAAATTTCCGGACACTGCGCGTACGGGCTTGCATAATCAAGTTTCATGTATTACTGCAATAATTTTTTTTACATTCGTGGTCTCCACTCACATAAACGTCACGCGTTCACGAGTTCATACATAAACGGGACGGATATGTGACTTGTAGCCTCCTACGGGTTAGTCACGCGGCAGGAACGCGTGACGAACCCTTAAGAACGTCTGCGTGGGAGGCTACCTCCAAGAAGAGCCTCTGGAACTTTCTGAAGGACTCCAATTGTGGTGGAAAATCTTATGCTCATTTTAAATAAGAGAATTACAACCGTAATCTATATGGGATGCGTCAGAATAAAACTCTATCAGGCGGTTGCAAAGGCACCCAGGGGCAACGATAATCGGAGTTCACGCATAGTTGCATCATGGGTAATCAGGGCAAGATGGCGAGAAATTCGAAGATTTGCATTGGAATTCAAAGCCAGCTAATTCTTCCTGAATTCACATATTTGATGCTCTTTGAAAAGAGTAACTTACGAGTTCAAAGAAAAAATACACTGAATCTGGAGTGCAAAGGTGTCCGTGGTCAGTTTTTAGAAAAGCTCAATTTTTTCACACGTTTTCTGTAAATTTGATACTGTTGAATTACAGAAAATGTATGGGAAAATCAAGGATTTCAAAAAAATGATCATGGACTTCTTTGCACTCCAGATTTAGTGTATTGTTTCTTTGAATTCGTAAGTTATTATTTTCAAAGAGAAAGCATCAGATGTATGAATTCAGGAAGAAACAGCTGGCCTTAGTCTAATACAAATCTTATAATTTCCCGCCATTTTGCCTTGTTTACCCATGATGCAACTATGAGCGTGAACTCCTCTATTAAGAGAGTCGACATTGTCGCTCCAAAATCTCAGTTCATCCCAAGCTTCTTTAGTCAACTTAACCTTACAGTTCCATGATAGTTTCTGATTTACGTGCAAAGCATGTGTCATGACCCTAGCCACACTTCCTACTCAAAGAGTGACCGAGATGACTCGGCCTACCACAGAGGCTATATCTCAAATCTGAAAAATTTACAATCATCCTTACGTAAGAGATTGATACTACTCTTTAGCTTTGAAAACCCTTCGTTCGGTAACCGAAGTAGAACCCTATTGAGTATCAAAAAGAACCAAGTGAACAGTGCGGCCGAGCCACAGGTAATAACTTGTACAGGCTCCCGGCCAAAGGGAGTTAATTGTCTTCGTTATAAGAAAACTGTACCTAGTCAAATCAGCGCGAACTGTCCAACTATTAATTATTGATACTACCTCCTAAGCCGTCATTGAGATAAATAGCAATGAGGTAAGAATTTTAAGTCCTTCAACAACTCGTGAACAGATCAGTATTCTGCGGATGACAACCCAAAAGGTAAAACTGAAAGTACTTCACAACGTCATCGCTAAAATCCCAGGAGAAAGCTAAACTTTTATTTACAGTGATCAGGAAAACTTTCAACATGATAAACGTCACGCGTTCACGAGTTCATACATAAACGGGACGGATATGTGCCTTGTAGCCTCCCACGCAGACGTTCCAAGGGGTTCGTCACATGTTCCTGCCCCGCTGAGTTAGTGGGGCAGGAACGCGTGACGAACCTCTAAGAACAAGTGCGGAGGAGGGCTTGGGATCGTTCTCGTACCCAGAGCTGCGATCCTTTTGACCAGCACCGTGGATCGAGAGCTCTGGCTGGACCAAATTAAAGGAGTGGATCGTCTGTCACCCTAGGCTCCTGTCGCAAGAGTGGATGGCAGATGGCTTTATTTATCTGCGCGTGCGCAATAGGTATAAACATCATAAAAGCGCTTTTTATGTACCGACCGATGTTTACAGAACACAGAAATGGAAATGCCAACAGTTTAACTTTTTCACACTAAGTTTACGGGCTTGTATAATCTAACTTCACATACCATCGAACTTTTAATATTTCGTCACATTCCCTACTCACATAAATGTCACGCGTTCAGCAACCCGCCCTGTCAGATATGACTGGCGCGTGCATGTAACCCGCGCGCGTGTGCAATTAACCGCTTAGTGCCCTCGTGAGTGAGTTATTTTGTTCGCGAAATCTTTTCGAACATACCAATGGAAACACTCCCAGCTTAATTTTCGCTTACTTGAGGCTTGTATAAACTAGTTCCACGTACTATAACTTTTGAAATATATTTCTTAATGTAGTCTGGCGCTCACATTGAAGGTCACGCGTAAATGAGTTAACATGCAAACGCGTGGGACACGACTGGCGTGTGTCCATAAATCATAAGTGCATCATTTGATTGTTAGGTGATATCCTCTGTATATCAGCAAGGCAATCTTTTCAGTAACGACTTCTGGACTGAACTGACAATTTGTCCTTGGGAGCACTTATAGCATTCTTCTGAGGTTTAAGTTTTACTTCTAAGAAATGACCACTAACAAGGAGACGGTAGGAAGATCGATTCTCGCTTGTCTCATATCGACCTTGGGGCCTGTGAGCTTCGGATACTGTTTAGCATACTCATCATCGGCCTTAGTGGATTTGTCAAATGATCAGACAGATCCCGCTATACGATTATCTGACTCGCAAGGATCCTGGTTTTCGGTGAGTATTTTTTTTTCTTTTCATCTGCGCTCACGCTAAGCATTATAAACTATATTTTGCCGACATACAAGGCTTTTTTTTATTTGAGTGTCTTATACAAAATAGCCTATTAAAAAAAGTCTGACCACAGGCAGCCCAAGCGCACTATGTTTGGGTTCGGGCTTCAGAGGTCATTTGGTCGGAGTACTAGAATTAATAGTGTATTATCTGATGCCGAATAAATGCAAAAATCTTAAAGATACGAAATCTTCTTGTTTGTCTATCTGTACTAGTAGCCTTTAAGGTAACGAAGGTCGAGATTTCTTGCATTATTCGAATTTTATCACATGTCAGACGTGTATTCGAATCTACAACGCTAAGAAAAAAAATCACGATCACGCGAAATACTGATGCAAAAGTCTCCCTTACCTTTAGTTTATAGCCACTCTGTTTCCTAAGGCCGGTTTAAACGCCGTTTAGTTGAGTTTCCTTCCATCGAGTACTGGCCACCAAGAAACTCGACTAAGCGGCGCTTAAACCGGCCGTAGGACACAGAGTGGCTATGAACTAAAGGTAAGGGAGATTTTTGAATCAATATTTCGCGTGATAGTGATTTTTTTTCTTAGCGTTGTCGATTCGAATACACGTCAGACATGTGATAAAATTCGAACAATTAGGGCCCGAATCACATGTAATTCGATGTAATAATGCAAGAAATCTCGACCTTCGTTATCTTAAAGGCTACTAGTACAGATAGACAAACAATAAGACTTCGTATCTTTAAGATTTTTGCATTTATTTGGCATCAGATGATACACTAATAATTTTAGTACTCCGACCAAATGACCTCTGAAGCCCGAAGGAATACCAACTAAACAGAAATTTAGAAGGGGTTGATTCCGCCTCTCAGTTTTTTTAAAGGTGAGGTAAAGTAAGACGCACCACGGGCCATGAGGCCAGTAAGGCAGACGCTTTTTAAAACCCGTTTTTAGCTCATGGATGACGTAGTCATGCCATGGGCTTTTGGAGGCACTCGAATGGCACTCGATCACTCACTCACTCACTCACTCACTCACTCGATTCTCATTAATTTTTTCATGAAAGTCAGATTAAACATGTTACTCCTACCTCCCTTACTTAGTATTACCTTTTTTCCAAGTGCCTTTTACGTATATGTTTGGAATATTCTAGAGGGTACTAGTAAGGCGAATTTTTTTTCCCGAGATGGGTTTTGTATAAATAACAATATTTTAAAGAACACTGATAATATCATCCGCAAGAAATGGACTTAAAATTGTTAAAAGGACATTGAAATAATTGAGCGTGGATCATTGTTGTATATTTGGACAAATTGTGCACATTTGTTCCCGATATTGTACTTGATATGGAGAAGATGCGATCAACAGGAGCATGAAAGAGCTGTTGCAGCCTGACGATGGGATTTCGTTCAGCGAAAAGCGAATAAGCCAAAGAGCCTTATAATCACTGCAAAAAAACTGTCCTCGAATTGTTAAAGCAACATTGAGGAGAATCTATTGAGGTTTTTCCAGTTATTTGGACGAATCCGTTCGACCATTTGTCTTCGTATGCAAACAGGGAATGAATTAATGTTGTGTCAACTAGAAGCACAGGTTTTAGAACCAACAAGCGTTACGCTATTTTGCTGGAATTCTTAGGTGATCTTTGCCTTAAAGTAGGCTTTTGTTTGTCGGTGATTACATTTAGCAGTGCTATTAATGTAATTTCGACAAGAAATGCTGCGCTGGTATAAAAGGCAATCGGATACTTCGACTGCGTTTAAATTACTTGGCTAGGTCAGAGCACGTACTGCTTTGAGCTTAATTTTACATGTATTAAAATAATTTTTAGCTCGTGTTTATCAAAAGCGCGTTCTAAAGCAGTTCAATTTAGCCATAAACGCCTGTATTCTGTATCTAATATAGCTCGCACTGCATATACTAACCGTTACGTACTCATTATATGGAAACGTTTATTTGAAAGCATCGCACTTTTAAAACCACGGTTTAAATAAAACTCATGTATGTAAAACTTGGCTATTTTACAAGAAAGTGCACTGTCGTTCGGAAAGTGTTTGACAGTCAGATGAGAAAGCAAACTATTTTACAACTAAAAAGCGTTAATAATTGCTTTTAAAAGTGATCTTTGCTTTGTAAGTAGAAATGCTGCACTGATAAAAAGTTTCTAGAATATTCAGGTACACATGCAATCGGATACTTCGAGTCACGCTGTATTTTGGCAAGTCCGTACGCAATGAACCGTTCAAAAAGACTTATATGTTTTTCTTTGATTATTGAACTGTCTTTTCTACACTAATTCAATTCATCCATGAGCTCGCTCCTAGGAGCCTTTGATTTATAGTATGAAATACCCAGGAGTATAGAGGGGATGCTAGTTAATCACGGGGTTACCAGTACCCGTCATATTCTCTCTTGTCCGTGATCATGAGAAGAAAGACATGTTGGAGCTGTTGAAACGGGATCGACGCCGCGCCAGTCCACATATTTTCCTTTCGTTATTCTCTTTTGCGTGAAAAAAAAAAACACAAACAAGACCGGCCGTAATGCTAAAGCGAATGACATCAAAATTATGGGCAGACATTATTATGTAACGATTTCGACCTTCTTTCAGGCAATTTCATCGGACGTCATTTTTTTACAGGTTCTGATACACGTGGTTTTGTCAGCTGGCAAACGTTTTTAAAAAATAGATTCAGAAGTTGACAGACCTGATTTTTCTTCAGACATGTGCGAATTTTTGCTTAAAATCTTATATCTTATAATCGGAGGTGAATATAAACGGTGAGGCTTATTTTAGGAATTGATCATGATCATATGATTGGCTTCACAAGCTGATCCTGTGTTCTGATTGGCTCGAAATTTCAATCTTTGTTCCCGCAAAAATACATTTTCTCTTGGCAAGTCAATGACCAAGCCAGTAGCCCATGGTCATCGGCTCCTGACCAAGCATAATGGCATAAGAGGCGTTATTTTATTCATTTAAATTTTTAATTGTCTTGTGACACTCGCTAAATTCTCGCTTGCCTTAGCTTGCCAACCTCGTCCCCAGGCCTCGTCCCTGGCTTTGGAGGTGGGGCGCCGTCACAGTGATATGGGCATTCCCGCGTTTTGGGCATCCCCATTCCCATATCCCTAGCGTTTTGGGCATCCCCGGTGGGGGATGCCCAAAACGCTGATCGCTTCGACTTTGCCTAAATTATTTCAGACTGGGCAAAAGTCGGATTGTCAATCACGAAGTTACGGCTGAATAGTGCAGAGGCATGTTAGAATTATATCGTCTAACACCGTTTCGCCGGGTTTATTACGCAGAAAAAAAAAACCATTGGCAGTAAACGTTGGCTCAAAACATGACGAAACTGAAATTTACATCCGCATAACATCGCTTCGCTGTACAAAGCGCCCTGGGGACGAGTTTGTTAGCTTGTCTGGAAAAAAGGAATGAAAAATAACGTCTGTTATGCAGGCAAGGGCGATATCCACCAATCTCAACCTCTAGCATGGTCAATAACGCTTATATTTTGAAAATAGTATCCAGCGATTATGCCAGCCTGAATCGGGTTTCACGTGGGCCTAATCAACACGGACCAAATGCATAAATCTATAAAAACGGGCATTTTTGCTCCCTTGCAGGAATTTTATTATATCTGCTGAAACAAACATCGCTGACTAAATCAACTCAACCGGCCTAAATTAATTTGGGTCCCGCTAAATTCGAATTCGACTCGGCTTGAGTGAACGCCCCCTACAGGGTTACAGTAGCACTTAACTAAAAACATTGACATCGAATGCTGTATTCAACACAGAGCGAGAGTGCCTGTTTTGTCTTTTATAGGTATTTCTTTACGCACAACCCCGCCTAAGTGAAACCTTCATTCGCCACTTAGAAACTACCGTTCACTTTCGCAAAGACTCCTGGGACTGTTACTAGGGAGCGCGGAAAAAAGCTGCCAATAGCTGACCAGCGCGTCCCCAATGACGACCCCAGAGACAATTGCGGGACGTAGTTCCAGCTCCTTTCTCGTTTTAAAGGAGCGTCAGGATGCCGGATGTGCTCCTGGCGGCTTACTGTATGGGCAAAGATATTGGCTTTCCGTCCTAAATACCCAAATTAAGACAAAAATCTGCATCTTAAACCCCTAGGTGAGACGAAAAGCATCCCTTTCTTGTTCATATTGCCAGAATTCATACCATGAAGGAATTATCTGATTGGCTTTCAGCAGTCCTGATTCCAGCATAAATTGGGTAGTGAAATAGGGCAATATGCGTCATGCTTAGGCAACTGCACAATACGCGCCATCGGCCGGCACGCGCCCACTTCCCGCAAAAAAAAAAATTCGGAAGATCTTGTGATTTTAAGAAAAGCTCAAATTATTACAAATTTTGTTATAGCTATGATTAACTGGTAACAGAACTTCGTATCGTCCAATTTGGCCTGTAACTTACAGATCACAGACCGAATGGGCTTCTCTCAGTTCTACTACTATCATTTTTATAGCCTGTTCCAGGCTCCGAGATAGTGGTGAAAAGTCGTTCAGTAAAAAGAAATGCGAAAAACGCGCGGGGGCTGGGGAGAGACAGACATTTTTCCCGCCTCCACTGGCACTGGCACAGGCTATCATGGGTTAACAACATAATCGTAAGACTCACAAACCAAGATAGAAAGAGCACACCGCGCGAGCTTTATAAAATGTTCAAGTATGGTGTTTATTGGGCCAACAGTAAACAATGAGATCGACATGCTGCCATTCAAAAACCCCAAAATTTACTGAGAAGAAAGAAGACGTCGGGAAAAGTAGCGGGCGACACGTACAGTCTTAGCAAATTTTCAAGTTTTTTTTATAACTGCTAAACCTTGCTTAATATTGTCGAACCTTAGGGATTTAGTAACGCTCAAAGTGCCCTTTCTGACAATATGTGGGTCTTCTGCAACCTCGTTCCCAGGGTTCTCTTCTCCTACCCGCCCTACGGAGCGGGTAGGAGAGAACCCTGGGAACGAGGTTGGGTCTTGTGTAATACATCAACTCGTGTCTAGTCCCTAGGAATTAGGGCAATGGGACTAGTCCTGTAACTGAAGTTTTTTTTTTTACCCTTTGCGGTGCAGGTACTGGCTGCCTTAGCTTGTAGCACAAGCGCAAGCCCTGTCGTTTACGCTAGGCTGAGAAATTGCTCATGATCAAGAGAGGGAATAGCGTTATAGTTTAGCCCTTGTGATATGTGAATTTCACTAAAATTATTTAGAGGAATCAAAGGTTTCAAATTAATGGAAAGTTAGTTGCGGAGAGTTCAGCAAACCTTTATTCAGTGTTATCAAGAGAGAATTGAACTGTCGCCATTATAATATTCTGCATTATTTGCTACAAGGCAGTCGCCCGTGGACTTGATAACGTTTCAAACAATTGACTAAAATGTGCGGACTTATCAGGAATTAGACTTTCATTTAATTACAACTTCTAAAGATAACTTAAGCAAAATTCACATATCCTGGCCAACGCCCTAAGATTCTCTCTCTGTGCCATTACTCTCTTCTACTTCGGAGATCGAAAACATAAATGTGCGAAATCAGGAGCCCATAACCTGGAGCGAGCAACTCCCACACTAGGCCTATGTCACAGCGTTACGGACCGGTTTATTTTTAGACACATTTTAGGGCAAAATATTTTTCCCGCGAAAATGGAATGTCCGCCACGTCTAATATGAACGCATTCGAAGTATGAGATATCAAAAAGGAAAACGCAACGTCATTAAAAGGCAAAAATTATCATTTTTAGGCCTGTATGGTTTGCTGACTGGTTTTGTGGGACTTAAAATATCTTCTAAATTCGCGCCAAAACCGTTCTAAAAATAAACTAGGCTGATTTAGCAACAGAACGGGAACGTCAGTTGACGACGGCGCGCGCAAATCAAACAACCTACTTGACCAATGGCAGAGCGGCAAATTGGGCACCGGAAGTCGAGTTTAGTCCTTTCCCGTCGTCAAATGACGTTCTCGTTCTGTTGCTAAATCAGCCTACTGGTCCGTAAAAACGCCGTGACACGAGCGCATGGAAGTTGCTCGCTCCAGGTTATGGGCTCCTGGCGAAATCCATTCTTCCACCCATGCAGGCTAGAGAAGTGTCAATCACTCTCCCAATCTCTCTCTGCCTCTCTTATTTATTTTTTCAGTCTTTAGTCACTGTTGGAGCCATGATTGGGTCATGTATAGGTGGATGGTTAATTGACAAATTTGGTCGTAAAGGCAGCATCCTTATGTCCGCAGTTCCCTTTGAGCTTGGATGGCTTCTTATCAGCTTTGCAAAGAATCACGCCATGCTGTACGCTGGTCGCATTATAACTGGCTTGGCCTGTGGAGTGGTCTCACTTGCTGTTCCAGTAAGTTGTTCTTGAACTCTCTCCTCCGCCGAGGCTCCTGCTGGGCATTCCAGTAACAATAGCAATAGTTAAAAAATAGTAAGCGCGTGATGGACGATGGGAAGGGGGAAAAAACGGGAGCATCTCTTTCTGTCTTACCCCTTCCCATCATCCTCCTCCCAAGATAACTGGTCTTTGAAAAGGTTCGCCGGAGAGAACAGCAGTTTCGCGACGCCACCACTTGTTTCCCTGTAAAATGTGACGCCTGAGAAACTAGTGCAGAAGTTCCACACTGATGACATGTGACTACCCAGATCTACAATTCTAGGTAGTGCTTCTGATTGTCGTGTCTCGTGGGAAATTTGTCTCAGCCAGTCAGAAGCACTACCCAGGTCTGGGAAGTCACACGTCATCAGTATGGAATTTCTGTGCTCGTTTTTCAGACGTCATTTGGATGGGAAACCTGTGGTGGCGTCGCCAAATGTCGGCTGTTCTCCACGGCGAACCTTTTCAAACACCAGTTATCTAACCCCAACGTGTCATGCCTAAGTAACTGGACAGTACGCACTTTAATGACTTTTTTTCACCGCTAGCCAAAACACTCCTAGAACTTCTTGTGTTTCCATTTAAAAAAACCTAAAATATCACAGATCAGTCAATTGCTTACAAAACTTTGTGTCGTCCAATTCGGTTTGTAATGGTACTCGTGATTAAACGAATCGTGCTCGGCGCAACGCAGTCGTCCGATTTTGTTGATCACTCGTATGATTACTGGTTGAATTGGACTCTACTCAGTCCTATTACCATTATTAATGGGACTACGGTACATTGATATTGACTTAATGTTTCTTTTAAAGATTTAGCTAAAATAGAGTTACACTTCGCTGAAAGGAAATAAACTTAATAAACGCCCCCTCGATTATGTGCCCTCCTTCTAATTTGCGCCCCTTCTTTTAGCCAAGTCGGATACAGTGAATTTATACGGTAGCAACTTCCTTCTTCAGTGGCAGATCCAGAGGAGAGCCTTCCCCTTATTTTTAGACTAAACTCAGGTCCGAGGGGCTCTAAAAATTTTTTTGAGACCGCTTCCCCCCTTATTTCAGGGTCTGGATGACCGCCANGTCCGTCACTGTTATTAGAGACCTTCAGATTCGACGACAAGGGAGACTGCGAGGACGAGATTTCACTTGAACTTACCTCGCGTATTCTAATAGAATATACGCCGCGGAAAGCTTCATTGTACTTTTTTTCGCCTGAAATATTAGCACGGTTATTTTCTCTTGAAGGAGGTTAAGCCCTCTCTCGATCGCAAACTGATAAAACTTCTAAAATTTGATAACTTGTTTCCGTCATTACAACAGTCTCGCTAAATTTCGTAGTAGAATGACGACGGCTATTGCGTTCTCCCACCAAAATGACACTGGTTCATGCGCGCACTACTTTGTATTGAGAAAATCTCTTCTCGTACTCGTTTTCGTCTTAGAATCTAAAGGTCTCTCTATTGATGCTTAGGTGTACATCGCCGAGATTGCGCCAGCAAGGCTACGTGGAGCGCTGGGTGCTTCAAACCAGTTAGCCATTACATTCGGCTTATTACTGTCATTTGTACTGGGGGTTGTGTGTCATTGGAAATGGCTGGCTCTTATTGGTGCTATTTTGCCTGTCCTCCTTGTGATCCTAATGTTTAAAATGCCAGAGACGCCACGTTGGTCCTTAGGAAAGAACAGACGAACTGAGACTTTAAATGCTCTGCTTTGGCTACGGGGTCCTGAAGTAGACATTGTGGAGGAGCTCACAGCCATCGAATCTAGTCCAGGTACACATACTTTCTTATTGCAAGGGAAGCCCGGGGGATATTCACCAAAGTTTTATGCGGGGAGGCTCCGCCCCAAGGTCTAACTCACCTTTTTATATACCATTTTTGGCAGAAAAGGTACCCCTTTCGTATACCTTCTATTGACAAATGCAGTGGCAGATCCAGGGGAGGGCCGGGGGGCCCGCCCCCCTTATTTGTTAGACCAAACTGAGGCCCGAAGGGTCGCAAAAATTTTTTTGGAGACAGGCCCCCCTCTTTTATCAGGGGCATCGATCTCTGCCGAGAAACTAAATTCCTTTCGACTCGATTTCGTTTCCGTAAGTGATGAACGCGGATCCGTAATCAATGATTATCTCTAGTCAGAATTACAATGTCGTTACATTTTTATTTTCAGAACAACAGGAGAAGCCTTCATTGCGTGAATGGCTATCGCCAGAGTTAGCAAAACCTCTCTTTCTGAGCATTGGATTAATGTTCTTTCAACAATTTACTGGAATGAACGCAGTCATTTTTAACGCGGCAAGCATCTTCTCAGCAGCAGGTTTCAAAAACGGCAAACTCGTTGGCATAACAATAGGCCTGATGCAGTTTTTGGGTACCTGCCTGGCTTGCTTAATCATTGAAAGAACAGGACGACGGATCCTTTTATTAATAGCATCAATAATCTTGGCTGTTTCTCAACTTGGTCTTGGCTTGTATTTTGAAATCTACATACCTCCCCATGATGAGAGCCAGTCTTCAGACGCGCTAAGCTCCATAAGTCATTCCGTAGAAGCATCAAAGATCAGCTGGCTGTCCGTGTTTTGCTTAATATTCTTCAATCTTGGTCATGCCCTTGCCTGGGGTCCGATTCCATGGCTCGTCATGTCAGAAATTTTTCCCCTGCGAGCTCGAGGTCCAGCCGGCAGCATATCAGTTCTATCCAACTGGCTAGCCGCTTTTATCGTCACCCTTACCTTTAACAGTCTGCAGTCGTCATTTACAGTTCCAGGAGCATACTGGTTCTATGCAGGATGGCTCTTACTGGGGTTTGTCTTTGTTTATCTATTTATGCCAGAGACAAAAGGGAAGACGCTGGAGGAGATTGAGGCTCTGTTTGACAAAAACAAGCGTTCCTACCAACCAATCGAATGAGGGCGAGGCAGATCCCTACGGCTAGAGGGTGAACCTCTCACACGGGAGATAGTCTCCCGTACAGAAGAGACAGGGGAAGCTCGTTGTGCCGCTTAGGGGTGCAGATTGCAGATTTTGGTCTTACTTAGGGTGTTCAGGACAGGAGGCCGATACTTTTCAGACTTTTAACCATAAACATATCTCTCGGGCTTAGTATGAAGAAAAACTGAACAAGGCAGTCTGATACTGTGTTGTAGACAGCACATGGCATCACAACAACTCCAGACTGTTCACAGTCCCCTTTTTTTTCGTATGATTATCGAGGGCCCACTGTCACAGAGGTCATTTTGGTTTAAAATGTACCGAGGAGGCGGGCCTCGAGGTTTGTAGCGGTGGGAGAAGGGAGGCCTCTTCCCAAACCGACCCTCCTCCCCGTTAGTAGATTTCGTACTCATCCTCAGGCTAGACTCGACACATTTAAAACCAACTAACAGCCTGTAAGGGTAGGTGCTCGCTCCTGACGATCTTACAGAAAAGTAGAGGACTATGTAGCCTGAGGAAACAGCCGACATTTGACGACGCTACCAATGGTTTTCCCGCCAAATGGCGTCTGAGAAACAAGCGTAGAAATTCCATACTGATGACGCGTCACTACCCCGGATCTGATAAGTGCTTCTGATTGGTCGTGCCGCGTGGGAAATTTGATTCGACCAATCAGAAGCACTACTCAGATCTGGGTAATGAGCGTCATCAGCATGGAATTTCTGCGCTTGTTTCTCAGACTTCATTTGGCGGGAAAACCATTGATAGCGTCGCCAAATGTCGGCTGTTTTCTCAAGCTAGGGACTTTGAACAGTCTACAGTCTACAGTCTACAACAACTCTTATTTGGTCGTCTATTTTAGTACGGTTTTCATTAAGGGTCTCGCCCCATGCAATAAGGGAATCCGGTTTCCTGAATCCGGCCAATTTTTGCTTGTGGAATCCGGGATCCTATACTTTGCAATGCGGAATACAGCTCAAGGAATCCGGAATCCCACTAATGATTCCAATCCACAATTCAGGTTCCACTGACAAAGACTGGAATCTTGTAGCTGGATTGGAATCCAAGCCGTGAAATCCAGGATTCAAGAATGTGTTGGATTCCCTTAATGAGGCGAA